GCAATGCTAGAATAATACCCTCCCCTAGCCTGCAAAGCAATCCGCAACAAACCACGATCCGACACCTCGAAATGACCTGCCAAACGGATAGAAACCCGGCCCGAATATAGCACTAGAGATTTCGGTAAACGCTAACTGGAATCGCAAAACGGATAAAATACCCGGTCCGATGACAGACAGCGCCGTGTCAGTGCTGATTTTTGGACTAAGAGGCAGCGGCGGGCAAAAAACTAAGCGAGGGTTAAAGTAAAAAAATTGAAATTGTTAATTTTATTCTTATGTCAAGTACTGTTCATATGACTATATCTGCGGTTGGATATCCTTATTGACCATATAGAAGTGGGTGAATCTCTGGAAATTTAATGGGCAATCACATTTGGGATTAAAATTTATAAACCTTTTTATGGGTCCAAAATAAAATTCTGCTCATTAAAAAATTTCAGTTTTGTTAGAAAAAAGTGAAATTTCATTTGTTCCTTTTTGCTGGAATAGAGCATTTGGTTGAGGTTTATAGTTATTGTTTGGTGAATGCGTTGGGAACTTGTGTAGGTGGAAATTGTTACTAGTGAGACAGATGTGGGTGGTGAGTAATGTCTTTTCATTTTCTTTGGTAAATGACTTGGAAGGATGACGGGAGACGAGAGGGATATTGGTGGAGAACATCCATCTATATTTTTATGTTGGTTTTACTTAGGTTGTGGTTAGTAAAATTACCCGATCGGCTAGTTGATAGTTGATAAAATAACTTATAATTTATAAGTGACTTTCGAGCTTATATCTTATAGCTTATAACTTATAGATAGAAAACTAGTTTATATGATAAAACTGTTTGGTAAAATTAGTTGATAACCTTGCTAAAATAAAAATTTCAACAAAGTTGTTTGAAAAGCTACCTAAAGAAGCTTATGAAATAAATTCGAGTTTTTTTTTTTAAAAAAACTTGTCCTACCAAACGAATCTTTATTTGAATACAAGAAGTTTATAATCTAACTAAAAATAAGTTATAAGCTAACTTATTTGATTACCAAACATAACTTCAAAACTGTCACATCAGGCTTAAGC